CATGACAACAATCCGAAACACACCGCAAAAGTAGTCAAGCAGTGGTTTCAAGACAACCACCTATTGGTGATTGATTGGCCGCCTCAATCTCCGGATCTTAACCCTATATTAAGTATCAACTCTTTGAACAAATCCAAAAGCCCTGGGCAACGATTCCACAAAGTTTCATTTATCACTTGATCGAATCTATGCCTCGAAGATGCAAGGCTGTGATCGACAACAAAGGATTCACCACGAAATATTGATAGCAAAATACAGCTTGGTCAACATTTTGTTGAGTTACACTTGTTTTGTTCAGAAAGAAATCAACTTTTTTTAATACTTTTGATTAATTTATTAATTTTCGTGTACAAATAATGAACTTTGTGATGAATAAAACTTGAAGAATGTTGTCCTTAAACAGTAAGATAGTTATTTTTCTAAATTGAAAAAAACTTTTATATATTGAAACTAAATTAGCATTTCTTGGTTGCACTTGTTTTGTCCGATACCGTATGTAATCTTAAAACATGTAACAGTTTTACTGTGTAACTTTTACTTAAAAATTGCATTGCGACAAAAACAGTTTAACTTTAATTTATAGCATTTATTTTCCATTTTATAGTCTTTTGTTTATTAAATATTATTAAAACTATTGCCGTACAATACACCTAAATGGCTGACGTGGATAGTTTTTTTGATGCAAAGCGCGGTGATTCAAATCATCTTGCTTGCACTTTATTTTTTTAATCTTTTTAGATCTTTTAAAATACAAAATAAAAACATTTTTGAAGTTGCACAGATATTATATACATAACATATATACTTTAACAAACAAATGTACTTAAGATATTATATACTTTAACAAACAAAGGGCAGATAATTTGTATAAAAGCATAAAATTTTTAAAAACATCAAAACACCGGGAGAAATTTGTTGCGTACTGGTAGGTAGCCTCTTGTAGCGGCCATATTGGATAGTCGGGTTACTTTGGTCGCCGTTAAAATTGGAAGTTTATCTTGCTTTTTTGCGTCTTACACACTAGACAATTAAAAAATAAATTGAATTATATATATATATATATATATATATATATATATATATATATATATATATATATATATATATATATATATATATATATATATATATATATATATATATATATATATATATATATATATATATATATATATATATATATATATATATATATATATATATATATATATATATATATATATATATATATATATATATATATATATATATATATATATATATATATATATATATATATATATATATATATATATATATATATATATATATTATCAACCTTCCGGCCGAACTGAAAAATTTAATGTATATTTAAATAAAAAAATTGTCAGTTGGATTATTTCTGATATCGCACCGATTGCGGAGTTAAAAATTTTTATAATGAGTTTGTTAACATTACTTTATAAGTTATAAAGTAATACTTTATACTAGATGTTAAACTTAACATCTAGTATAAAGTATTACTTAATACTAGATGTTAAGTTTTTATTTTCTATCATTTATAAACTTTTTAAATGATAGAAAATAAAAAATGATAGAAAATAAAAAATATTAATTTTTAATATTACTTTATAATAAAGTAATATTAAAAATTAGGGCTGTACCGAATTTCAGGTCTGGCTCCTGCTCCGGCCGAAATTCGGCTATTTTTACAAATCCGGCCCAAATCCGGCTCCGGTAAAATATTAGCAAATACGGCATAATTTTGGCCGGATTTCTGAATTTCGGTCAGATATTTATTACATCTTTCTTGTCCGTGTTAACATGTATACTTAATGTTTGAATTTTACAAATCAATGTTTTTAGTAATTCTATAGTCTCTGAACTTCTTGTTTGTTTTGGTATCTGTATTTACATTTCTTTACAATATAATTAGCTAAGCCTAATTTCAAACAACAACTCAACAAAAAATTCTGAAGAGAAGACACACAATATTCTGCAATAATGCAGGTGTAAAGACTATGAAGTCAATCCTAATCACGTCATTGGATGAGCGTTTTAAAGGCATTGCGGAGAAACCTTTTTATATAGTGGTGACGCTGGTTGATCCATGATTTCAAACTAAACTCTTCTCATTACAGGCAACACTGACAGGTGAAAAAGCAAGATTGAAGTCAATGAGCATGCTGAGCAGCAGATTGACAAAACTAAAGAAAATCCAGCAAAACAATCCCGACTGGATAAATCTTATACATTATCATCATTACAATGGCAATATATACAGATGAAATTATTCCGCTTGTGGCACAGCACATGAACAACAATTACCAACAGGCATAGACACTCAGCTGAGCCAATATCTGGAAGAATCAGAAATAAATAGACACGCTGATTTACTACAGTGGCGGAGTGACAATATCCCGGAAAAAAAAGTTCTATAGCGTTTCTCTAAATTTTTGAAACATATGGCCTATAGAAACTCTATAGAATTCATATAAAACGTCTATTAATTTCTATAGAAATTGCTATAAAACTTTTAAACAACAAAAATCTTTTTTGTATAGTACTATCCTGCCAATAGCTGGATAGTACTATACAAAAGTACAATAAAAAAGATCGTACATATATAATAAATAGCCGGAGCAAGAAGAAGACGTACATTGTCTTATCACCGAGCCCCATTTAGATTGTCGCTTTCAGTTTATGTAACAATTTAAAATTAAATGTTAAAAATTTACAGGTCGAAGATTATATAGTAAAACACAATATATTACAAGTAGCAAATGGTATAATAAAATATATATTTTTTCTTTAAGTTATTTATTTTTCTTTTTTTTAAGAAAAAAATAAGAAAAAAATCAAGACAGAAATAAGTGAGCAATGGACATTTTATTTTAGTTTAATTATTTTAGGTACTTATTTAAAAAAAAATAGGTACTTAGTTTTAAAAATCTTTTATGATCGAAGTAATTTTCTAATAGAAATCAAATGCCAAAAAACCAACTGGAGATGACTACATATTTTATTTGTGCCATATTATCCTGTTAGAATGTGTCAATGTGGCAGCTGTCTCAATTGCCAATATTTTCCAGAAATCGTTAGATTAAAGCGTAGTAACAAAATCGTGGCTATCGACAAACTAATTTTTAATTATTGAATTAAAGAATAAATTTGTCTATAACTATTATATACGGTGTAAACTTTATTTTAACAGTTATGTAAAGTAAAAAATTAGGAATATGATTCCAAATAAGACTTTTTAAAGCTGTTTTTTTTTAAAAAGCCGAAAACATTTTATTGACCAAACACAACTACAACTTATTTTGTTAGAACATTTTACTGACCAAACACAACTATAACTTATTTTGTTAGAACATTTTATTAACCAAACACAACTATAAATTAATTTGTTAGAACATTTTATTGATTAAACACAACTATAACTTATTTTGTTAAAACATTTTGTTGACCAAAGACAACTATAACTAATTTTATTTAAAAAACTATTAGGAATATAAATAAAAAATTATTATATTAGTTAAACTTCATACGCAAAGCTCAAGGTTTTATAATAAACTAACTTGAATGTTAAACGTTAAAATGAAACACATATGACAATAACATATGATAAAAAGATTTGAATTTTAAGAAATTCAAAGAAAAATACTTCTACAAAAATTCAGTTATTCTTATACTTTGTTTCCGCTTGAATTTCATAATGATGACGTATCTATCAGTTGTTTAAAATATTTATCCGGATACCAATGTTTATATTTTGAAATGTTTTCAGTAAAATTTATATATAAATGGAGAGAGCGAGATAAGAAGATATTCATTTTATGAATTTATTTAGTTTCTTATCAAGATCTATTTAGTTTCTTATATCAGAAAAAAAATAGTTTAAACTTGATTTTCTACAAAAATGACTAATGTTCTATTCAAAACAAATACAAAAAAAAAATAAAAATTATCTTTCTTAAAAAAATAAATAAAAGTGAAATAGTTTCCAGCTGTAGATATAGAAAGAACTTTCTAGGCGAAGTAGAACTTTGATACCTATGATCAATAAGTCAATTTCTCGATTCATGTAAAAACTGATGTTAGATACCATTAGTTTGTATTTATATAACAATTTTTATTAAGCGAATACTTTAGAACATCCCTAATTCAGTATTTATAATGACCAGTTTAATAAGGGGAATTAAAATCTAGCCGAGAAATATTAAAAGAGTCTTCCACAACACGAGCTCATCTAAATAAGCAATACATTTTAAACTGTTTTTATAGTTTTTTATACAACCATCTTTTGTTAGGAAAATTAACTGCTTTAAATTAAACACACACACATATATATATATGTGTGTCTATATATATATATATATATATATATATATATATATATATATATATATATATATATATATATATATATATATATATATATATATATATATATATATATATATATATATATGTATAAACACGCATTTTGACCATATTTCATATTTAATGTGGTTCATTTTAACAAATTCCGGTTTGAAAGCGTTCATGGCTGACGACAAGTTTCGAAGTAAAGGGGCAAAACGGTCTATTTCTTAAGTCCTCTATATCTAGAATTTTATTTAAAAAAAAAAGAAATAAAAAAAAGGTCCTTGAAAAAAATTTGTCGTCGGCCCTGACGTCAACATTTCAATGTTTTAAAAAAAGATAGCCCACCACTTTATTTTAGTAACTTAGTATTTTATTTTTGTATAAAAACATTCTTAACACACTTAACATGAAAAATACTATTTGTGGTCAATAAATAGTTTACCTATATAAGTACAACACATTTTGAATTTGAATAATTTTAAATATTGCAACACTAAAAATACACACACAATTTGTTGTTTGATGTTTCTTCTTACTTTTTATGTTTTTTTTTAAAAAGTCGTTCGAAAAAACCTTACTTCAGATAACCTATAAATAAAAGAAAATCAAAAATAACGACATAAAAACTAATACAAAGATAAAAACTAAAATTAAAAAGTTAAGGTAAATTGATATATTCATAAAAAATTCATAGAAAAATTAAAACTTATATGTAATAAAGATGACTACAAATTTATACATTAACAAATAAAAAATTAGCAAAAATTTAGCAAATGTAAAGATTAAAAAACCTTTTAAACATCCTTTAATAAAATGTAAGACTAGGCCACATTTTTATAAAACGCTATGTTTTTACAAGTTTAAAATAACATATATCAGACAATGTCACAATGAAGTTGTGGAAACTGCCCTTAGTAATATTAAATATTGTTCTTTCACCCCATTGCTTTTCCCAAATACCGACTGGTAAATAAACCTGATGCAAGACAACGTTTTGATCAAGAACTGGTGTAATCAGAAAATTTTCTCCAAGCATAAATTGAGAGTCTGTGATAATTGCTTCTTTATCATATGGCCAGTACCACCATAGTGGACGAATGATAGGATTACCTGTTGATTTAGCTTCACAAGCAGCTTTGTAAATTTCGTCTGATAAATTCTTTCTAATCATTAAAGCACTTTGAACTAATGTAACAACATCTTTATCATAATCCCATGGGGTTACAGAAAATTGAATAGCTGGTAAAAAAATACTTAGTTGTGTCCAACGAACATATAACTCACGATTTAGTTTGTATTTATAATTACAATCTGGTTTGTAATTACAAGTATTACCACCTACCATATCTGGTAAAATAAATGGATAACCAAGAATGCCTAAAGTAAGAACAGCTGTTAAAACTGATCTTAAACCATTATGAACTTCCCATATAGTTGAACGGTCAAGAATTCTCACAAAAACTGAAAACCTTTGTGATTTATAACCCACTCTAACTTCTGAGAGGTTTCCTGGTATAGCGGATGCTATCTTTACATAGTTATAGCTAAAGTAATTTGGATTAACTTGTGGTGTGTTTAGTTTATACATGTATGGCAAGTAGTTCACTTCACCTGCATCAAATTTGAAACCATCAATCCCTAGCTTTTTGAAATCAAGCAATCTGTTAATGAAGTTTTGACTGGCACTTTCACTTGTTGTATCTATTATTGCACCAATTCCATCCCACCATTCTGTCAGTCCTGGTATTCGTTTCTCTCCAACAACAACAAAATCTTTGTAATGATTCAAACTTTTTGATCCAATATTTGAAAAAGGATAAACCCAAACTGTAATACGGAATCCAGCTTCTTTGATTTGTTCAATAATTTTGTTGATATCTGGAAATTTTTTATTATCAAAGTCATAATCACCATATGCACTGGAATATTGGTCATCTATTTCTATTTGACTCCCTTCAAAGTTATGCGCTTTAATTTCATTAACAAATTCCTTCAACTTAACACCATTAATATTTTTTTGATATCGAACCCATGTTGACCAAATTGGTTTAGTAAACATTTCTCTATCAGGAACACCATCTGGTTTATTAATAAATTGATCAAAAAGTAATTTATGCACTTTCTTAATGTTATCAGCAGTGCAAATTGTGTAATTAAGCTCATTACTTAAGCTATCAGTGTATGCCATATGATAGTTGTTATAGTCAGCTTTAATACAAAACCTAGACAAAGTATTATCATTCATACTAACATGTAATGGAACATAATCAGCAACATATATTCCGCCACCCACAGAATTCACTATTAGAGGCTCTAAAACACCTCCAAATAATTTTGGCTGGTATTTGTCTAGAAAATCAGATGTTAAAAATGGAGTCATTGGAAAAGTTACTTTATTTAAAGGCCATTTTTGTGAAAATAACTCACCTAAACCAAACCAATGTGAATTTTTGATATCAAAGCAATCTTGAAGTTTTGTATGATATTTAGCTTTCCAATGGATTTCATAACATTGTTCACTAAAGTTTTGCTTGGTTATGGTAAATGTTATTAGTTCATCGTCATAAAAGGTCATTTCGATAAATCTTTCTTTTTTTATTAGTGTAGAGTTTTGCTTTGCAGCATCTGATAATAATTCTCCAAAAAAAACATTCAATGCAAAATTATGTTGATTATCATATTCTTTTTTTGAAAAGTTATTAGCTAAATTTAAGACCATATCTTTAAAGTAGATATTTTTATCCCATTCGAAATCCTTTTTATTAGTTTCATCTTTTTTAGTAACATTTTCATACTGCTTTGGCAAATAAAAACTCAGCATAAAAATTGCAGCAACGAGTAATAGTATACCAAGTAGTGCCATTGACACTCTGACTTTTTTGCAAAATTCATAGTTGATTTTTGGAACAATACTCTTAGTTGATAGACGATTTAATAAAGCATGTTCCGCAGTATTGCTCGAATGTGAATAACTATTTTTAAAACTACTTACATTTGATGAGTTGTTTAAAGAGCTAATACTCGTACCGCGAGCGTAACTTGAGTTGTTAGTGAATATCTTGTTAACTGGATTAGTATTACTACTACTTTCGGAAAAAGATGTAAGCAATCTTTCTGGCATCAATATAGATGACTTTTGTTCGTTTTTTAAAGACTATATTCAAAAAGTGTTGAGAAAAAGTACTTATTTAATAAAGTAATTTATTTAACCAAGCAGCTCTTCACAAATAGTCGAAAGCTAAATGCTCATACTAATGCAATAATAATGCATTATCTAAATTTTAAAAAGAGATAAAATGCAGAATCGACTTTTTTTTGTCGGCTTTAACAGCATCGCAAATATTTCGACAATGTTTTTTTATTTTAAATAAATTTTGATTAATTTACTTATATATACGATTCAATAAATAGTTATAAATGTATAGACAAACAAAAACTATGACGCCGATATTATTTGTGTATAATGTTTAATAACGGTAGATGTCAGACTTTAACAGCTTTTCACAGCTTCGTATACATTTATCATACAGGGCTTTAGTTTCTTGCATTCACAGTTTCTTGAATGCTTTAATTTGTCTACTATTTAATTTATAAAAACCCAATGTCAGTTGTTAATGTTGTTGTCTACATAGAATTTTATTTGTAGCTTCTTTTAAAGGGATTTTATACTAATTTGGAGGATTGTACCCAGGGCCGTCCTTAAGAGGTCTTCCATGGGGGGGGGGGGGATGTATTTTAAAAAAACCTTTTTTTGTTGTTGTTGCGGGGAGGGGGGAGGGGGAGGGCGGGAGTGTATGTATTTATAAAAACACTTATTTTTACTAATTTATTACTGCTCTGTTCTTTAAGAACATCAAGCACTTTATTTGTTGAATACGTAATTTACATAGCCTTATAAAAACCGTAATACGGGTTATTACTAAATAAATAACAATATTTTAACTTGATTTATTATCTAAAAATATAAATTTGGATCTGACAAGACATAAAATGCCTAGTAACATGATCTATTACAACAAGAATGTGATGCTTATATACCTTAAACTTCTGTCCAAGCTTTTATAAATTCTATACTTTCATCAAATTGATAAATTCAGCATTTTTCTATACACTCCTTTTTATCATTTTAGATGCATTTTGGCTGTTTGCCACTTACTGACTTTTATTTAATGTCTCAACATAATTTACCCGCAATTTCTTCACAGCTTCACATTTCTTTTTTATATCTCATTTTATTCTTCCATAGTTTTGACTTGGATTTTCTGGGATGTTAATATTGCTTTTCTACGCCACAAAATCAACCCATAATCATTTAAATTATCCTTAATTTTGGCTTGATCTTTTTGAAATAATAACACTGCTTTTCTACAAAAATAGCTACTAATAATTTGTTTACCTTTTCTAATTGAGCTATTGGTGATTTTGAAAATTTAAAAGATAAAATAACTTTATTTGACTTATCAACACCACTTGACTTATTTATCGTTAATTAAAAAAGACCCAAAAACAATTTTTTTTTTTTTTTTTTTCTAAACTTTGTTATTAAAATGAGTTAGTTAAATCTATTAATTAATCAGTTAAATCTAATAACTTAATTCCTTGTTCCTTTAAAACCTTTTTTCAGTTTGAAACTTATTCTTCTGATTGTAGCGAGCGAGGTTTTGACAATTTTAGTCATACTTTGTTGACTACGACATATTTCTTGGAGAAAAAAGCTACTTTAGTTAATTTTCGTGGGGAAACATTACTCATTAATAATCCTAAATTAACCGCAACATATAAGTTGTTATGTGGCTGCATGATTGAAAAAATTAATAATAAAAATAAATGAAATTTTATTATTCATGTTGTAAAGACAGCCTACAATAATGTAGGTCTCTAAAAATGACATATAATTTGATTTATAACAGATAAAATCAACTAAAAGTTTTTAATTTTATATAATTAAACTTACCATACTTTTCATAAAGTTGAAAATATTTTTGAGAAAATATATATATATTTTAAAGGTTGCTAATCTAACACAAAAAATAAATGACCGAAAGATACACGTAAACAACAACAACTAAACAGCAATATCCACAGCCTATCAAAAAATCTAATGAAGCATATATTACAAATTACAAATCTGAAAAAAACAATTTTTAAGAATTATAATTTGAGCCGTTATTGTATATTAAAATTGTAAAAAAGACTTTGTAAAGATGACTTCAAATCAGTAAAATAAATCAATTATGTTTGTATCAAATGTAAAGAGTTTTTTCTGCGACCACTGCTGTTCAAAGAGACCGCACGGTTTTATGTTGTATCACTCTAATGAAACCTTTTTTATACAAGAGTATTTGCTCAATAAAAATAAAAAAAGGGGTTTATAAAATTGGAAAAAAATGACGTGAGTCAAAAATAGGGTAAAGGGTAAAATTGAGAGATCTAAGTCTACTCATTTCACAAGATCTAATTAGATGACGCGATGCTTAAAAAAGACGTTATGCATATATATGTTAAATTAATGCATATATAGGTTAAATTAAGAGATATAAGTTTACTTAAGCATTTTAGATGATTTAGTGATAAATAAGACGTAAAACATAGAGGCAGCAATCGCTGCCTCTATGTATCACGCCTTAGATACTCGTTTAACTAATAATTTTGCTAGTACATTATTATTGTAAATATTTTTATAACGGTCTTTGTATCAAATTTTGTTTAAATTATTTGAAATTCAATTTATACTTTTTTTTTATAATGGGCATCTAAAATGTTTAAGAAGACTTATATCTCTCAATTTTTTATTGGCATTTTTGTTTTTTCATTTTTTTTTTTTTTGGCATTGTTTCCAGTAAAAGTTTTAAAATAAATAAAATGAAAAAGAAACTTTTAAAAACACTCGAGTGTGCTCAGCAGTACACACTCGAGTGTTTTTAAAAGTTTCTTTTTCATCTTTTTTATTTTAAAACTTTTAATGGAAACGATACATATAAATATGTTATGTGGTTGAATTTTAAACTTAAAAATGTAGCCAAAAACATTTTTTTCTTTCTTTTATATCAAGATAAACCTTTCTACTCTTAAAATTTTTAAAGTTTTAGTAAACGCCTAACTATTCTGTTTTAGTATATATATATATATATATATATATATATATATATATATATATATATATATATATATATATATATATATATATATATATATATATATATATATATATATATATATATATATATATAAGCGTAAAAGATTATTTTAATCAACAGTCAACATTCTTTAATCATTTCAACGCAAGTTTAATCAAAGAAAGTTTTGATAAAAGTGAAATTAAAAAATAGGAAGTTAAAAAATATTTTCTTTTTACAAGTTCAGTGTAAAGAAATCTAGTTCAGTGGAAAGAAATATTCTACACTTTTTATAGCAGATATAAGAACTGGTGATACCGCATTGGCGATTTGTACAAAAGCGATTTTTTCAAATATGCTATAAAATGCGAAAATATTTTCAATAAAAATTAGCTCATAATAAATCGTTCAGCAATTCGTTCTATAAAAATAACCACATCGCAATTACCTAAGTAGTTGTCCATAAAGTACGTACGCTTTTATTTCGACCCTTCCCTCCAATCCCCCACCCCCATTTTGCTATACGCTTTTTTGAATACCCTCTATCTCACTAAAAGTACATACGCTTTTAACCTACCTACCCAACATTTTATGATTTACTTAAAATATTTCTTTTTACTTAATGATTCTTTATTTATATCATTGACTCCCTGTCCCATCAGTCCCCCAATACGTCGTTTGCAGATCCCGTTTTCCCCATCTGAGCTACATACTTTATGAACAATCCTTAACTAAATATCGGATTCGTAGCTATGCTTTCTTATCTAAACATCAAAAGTTACTGCATTACCAAAATTAATAGAATTGCGGTCATGCAAGAGCTTAATCAGAAGTTATTGAAGTTAGTATACAAAATTAGAAATAATGTGACTTAAGCAAGAAACTTATGCAAAAAGATGGCAATATTTATGAGGTGGAACTTAAAAATGTTATAATGAAACTTCCACCATCAATTGCAAGTCATGGATCATCTAGACGTGAATATCTTATATTTGATGCTGATCTGACATTTTTTATTATACAATTTTGCAATCTTTTTCCTTTGTGTTTTTTGTTGTGTGCATTAAAATATACGAATAATTTAAATCTTTTTCATTACGAAACTATAAATAATTAAGCACGAATAATAAATGACTTTTTTCTTTATTTATCAAAAATATCTATTAAATTAAATTCAAAGATTATGATTGTAGATGTGCTAAAAAAAATAATCTAGAAGAAGATTATCTAATGGTGCATTTAGTTATTGTTCAAAATAAAATTAATAATTTGAACTACAATAAAAGACTTTTTACTACAAAAAGTACAACAGTCAAAGAGATAAGTAACAAAGTTTTACTTATGACCGTCAAAAATCTTTTTAGGTTAAGTTTGAAGCGGAAACTTCATCTGAGATTTAAAAAAAGATTAAAAAAGAAAAAAGAAGATGAAGAAGAAGAAATTAATATTACCACTTAGCTGGCTGACAAGTATAACTTTTTGACTTTCTGACTTAGAATTATAATTTTGAAATAAAAATAGTTAGAAAACTCAGTAAATGAATTTCTCATACTTGAAATTGGTATTTATAATTTATTGCTTACAAAATGTTAATATAAACTTTTATTGACCTGGGGCAGCCCAGAGATATCCACGGTATTAAGACCAAATAATGCGTGGTTTTTTACTTATAACATCATGGTCAAAGGAATAACACATCTTGGTCAAAAATACAACGTATTTGTTGTACCATCGACTACATGAATAATTTATAAAAACGCTAAAAAAAGTGATACTTCTTGGTCAAATGAGTAAAAAAGTCTAATAAAAAGTATAGCTTTTGTGCAAAAAAAAAAACACTCGGAAGTGAAAAGGGATCAGAGGTACCTGATAAAAAGAATTTTAATGATGCCAAAATCAAAACTTTTGATAAAAGAAAAAACATGTTATCTTTACATCGAAATTATAACGTTAACTGATATTAGAAGATCTGACTTTGTCCATCCTTTTCCTTTCCAACGTTAACATAATCTAAATAACAACGTTAAGTTAAAGGTTCGTTTTTTTAACTCCAAATGTGAAGGCAATGAGTTAACAAAATTCACCTTTTAGCACAATATTCTAAACTTTTTAAACTTAAAAACAGTTTTTTAATTTCAATTTTACCGTTTTTACAGTTTTTAAATTTCAAGTTTACTTATAAACAGTTTTT